AGAGAGATTTCTCTATTGTCTCTATACTTTACATGGTATCAGAGCAAGTCTACTGCTCGCCGGAGTTGAGTCGAATCCGCTGCCTGAAATTCCTTGGCCGGAAGCTAATCTGAGGTCTTTTTGACATTTCCAGTTGACTTGTGGTGGTTCTCTGATCATAGAACCACATTTTGGCAAAGAACAACCTCAGACCAGATGGTATTCTCACTTTGTTTGGTCAGGTTTGAGTTTGGTTTATTGGTTATTCGATTTCTTTAATTCTGTGGTATTTTTCTTGGAGGCTGCCTGTGTGAGAAGCTTGCATCTTTAATTTTGACTCACTGTGGTGATCGATTAGTGACTTGATATTGTCTGTTGGATCTTTCCTTATCAGAAACTTTGTTGGTCTCTACTTTTGTTTGAGTTGGGGACAAATTCGTTTGGTTCTCTGATTTGGTTGAGTAGATTATTAAAGTTGAATCCTGTTCAATAGATTGTTGATTTCGTATCTACCAGGATCTGTTTGAGTATCTTTTAGCTTCGGGGACCTCTGTTAGATTAATCAGTTTGTTATTGAAAGAAAAAAATGATGGTAAAGAACAATAATGCAACAACTCCTAGTCCAACAATCTTGGTTTCGGATGAGTTTCTAAAATTCCTTCAATATCATAAATCAGTTAAGGAATCTTCTTCAGTTACTGCCTTTGTTGGGTCAGATAAAACATGTCTTATCACCTCTTCTAATAAATGGGTGATCGATTATGGTGCTACAAATCACATGACAGGTAATCTAAATATTTTTTCTAGCTTTCGTTCACATAAAGCACCCTCTCCGGTTACTGTAGCTGATGGATCAACTTGTAGCAGTGTTGGATCTGGGACTGTTAAACCAACTTCCTCTATTACCCTGTCATCTGTATTAAGTCTACCAAACTTGGCCTTTAACTTGATTTCTGTTAGTAAAATTACCAAAGACCTTAATTGTTGTGTTGCATTCTTTCCCAATCATTGTTTGTTTTTAGATCTTAAGACGATGAAGGTTATTGGTAAAGGATATATATCTGGTGATCTCTACATTCTTGATGAATGGGAGCCACGGTCTGTTGCATGCTCTAGTATCGTGTCTCCTTTTGAAGCACATTGTCGACTTGGACATCCCTCTTTGCCTTTGTTAAAGAAGCTCTGTCCTCAGTTTCAGAATATTTCATCATTGGATTGTGAGTCATGTCGATTTGCAAAACACCATGTTAAGTCCAAGGGTTAATATGCGAGCTGAGTCAGCTTTTGAGTTGGTCCATTCTGATGTTTGGGGACCATGTCCGATTGTTTCTAAAACTGGGCATAAGTATTTTGTCACTTTTATAGATGATTTTTCTCGAATGACTTGGATTTACTTTATGAAGAGCCGCTCTGAAGTGTTTACTCATTTTTCTGCCTTTTGTGCTGAAGTCAAAACTCAATTCAATGCTTCAGTACGTACTCTAAGGAGTGATAACGCTAAAGAATACATGTCAGAGTTATTTCAGTCCTACATGAGACAACATGGTATATTACATCAGTCTTCATGTGTTGATACACCCTCTCAAAATGGAGTTGCTGAGAGGAAGAATCGGCATCTACTTGAGACAGCTCGAGCACTTTTGTTCCAAATGAAGGTTCCTAAACAGTTCTGGGCTGATGCGGTTTCTACGGCTTGTTTTCTGATTAATCGCATGCCATCTAGTGTACTCGATGGTAATGTGCCTTATAGTGTTCTTTTTCCGAATAAGTCATTATTTCCGGTGGAACCTAAGGTGTTTGGAAGCACATGTTATGTTCGAGATGTTCGACCATCTCTTACCAAGTTGGATCCCAAGGCTGTGAAGTGTGTTTTCCTGGGCTATTCTCGCCTTCAGAAGGGGTATCGATGTTATTCTACTGAGCTTGGCAAATATTTAGTGTCAACTGATGTAGTATTTTTAGAGACTACACCATTCTTCTATGCACCTCCAATTTCTACAAGCCAGGGGGAGGAAGATGAGTGGCTAGTATATCAGGTTACCCGTACTTTGACAGAACAATCAGATGATACTCTTCGATCTCCCAGTTCTTCTATTGAGCACCAATCGACTATTATGCCTTCAGTACCTGCTCCAGCAAGACCTCCAATTGTTCAAGTTTATTCGCGGAGGCGAGAGACAAATGATACATGTCCCGCACCAGTTCCTGCATCATCTGATTCTTCTTTGCCTGATCCTCCAGATAACCTTGATCTTCCTATTGCTCTTCGCAAAGGTACACGTACTTGCAAATCGACATATTCTGTTGCTAACTTTGTTTCCTATGACCACTTATCCTCTACGTCTAGATCTATGATTGCTTCTCTAGACTCCATCTTCGTACCCAAACAGTGAAGGAGGCTTTGAATCATCCCAGATGGTCTGATGCAATGCTTGAGGAATACATGCTTTAGAGGACAACCACACATGGGATTTGGTAGATTTACCAAAGGGAAAGAAACCAGTGGGATGCAAGTGGGTCTTTACCGTTAAAGTTAATCCAGATGGTTCTGTGGAAAGACTTAAGGCCAGACTTGTGGCGAAAGGCTATGCTCAGACTTATGGGGTGGATTATTCTGACACCTTCTCCCCGATTGCCAAACTCACTTCTGTCCGCTTATTTATTTCTCTAGCTGCGTCCGAGAATTGGCCTTTACATCAGTTGGATATCAAGAATGCGTTCCTTCATGGTGATCTTCAGGAGGAAGTGTATATGGAGCAACCACCCGGTTTTGTTGCTCAGGGGGAGTATGGGAAAGTCTGTCATTTGAAGAAGTCCTTGTATGGCTTGAAGCAGAGTCCACGAGCTTGGTTTGGCAAGTTCAGTGAGGTAGTTCAGGAGTTTGGGTTGAAAATGAGTAAGTGTGATCACTCAGTCTTCTATCGGAAATCAGTAGCTGGCACTATTCTCCTCGTTGTATATGTTGATGATATTGTTATCACAGGAAGTGACTATGCTGGGATTTCTTCCCTCAAGTCTTTTCTGCATACTAGGTTTCATACAAAGGACTTGGGCTAGTTGAAATACTTTTTGGGAGTAGAAGTAAATAGAAGCAAGAAGGGAATTCTTTTGTCTCAGAGAAAGTACATTCTTGACTTGCTTGCAGAAACTGGAAAGTTGGCAGCCAAACCTTGCAGTACTCCAATGGTTCCTAATGTGCATCTTATGAAAGATGATGGTGATCCTTTTGACGATCCAGAGAGATACAGGAGGTTAGTTGGGAAATTAAACTACCTTACTGTGACTCGTCCAGATATTGCTTTTGCGGTAAGTGTTGTTAGCCAGTTCATGTCTGCACCAACGGTCAAACATTGGGCAGCTTTGGAACAGATTTTGTGTTACTTGAAAGGAGCTCCTGGACTTGGCATATTATATAGCAATCACAATCATACTCGTATGAATGTTTTGCAGATGCTGACTGGGGTGGATCGAAAACTGATAGAAGATGTACTACAGGTTATTGTGTCTTTGTTAGAGGAAACTTGGTATCATGGAGGAGTAAGAAGCAAAGTGTTGTATCTCGATCTAGTGCAGAATCCGAGTATAGAGCTATGTCACAGTCTACATGTGAGATTATGTGGATACATCATCTGTTGACTGAAATTGGGTTAGAGCATCCAATACCAGCAAAACTCTGGTGTGACAATCAAGCTGCCCTCCATATTGCGTCAAATCCGGTGTATCATGAAAGAACTAAGCATATTGAGGTTGACTGCCATTTTATTCGTGAGAAGATTCAGGAGAACTTGATCTCCACTGGCTACGTGAAGACAAGAGAGCAACCGACTGATTTGTTCACAAAGGCGTTGAATGGAATTCGAGTTGATTACCTTTGTAACAAGCTGGGCATGATCAATATCTATGTTCCAGCTTGAGGGGGAGTGTTAGATAATGAATGTATACATAATCTTATGTAATATACATAGCTAGCATAATTATAGGGATTCACAGCAGATTTATAGGATTTTCTTTTTGATTCTTTCCATAGTTAAGGCTCTATGTACTTGTATATATACTTGTTATTTCTTGAATATAATACAAGAGAGATTTCTCTATTGTCTCTATACTTTACAGATATCTTTATGAAGTTATGTGCTGCTATATCTCCAAGAAAAAGTTGAAAGTATGTGAGATCGGATTAAAAGTAATACTTAAGTCTTATGCTTCACACATTATGAAAGTGACTAATCACTATTGATGTTAAAGTATTTTCCCCTAATATTAAAGAGTGAATTAGTTCTAAGACCTTTTATTTTCTTATATTCTTATTTAACATCACGGGCAAAATATGTGTCACATAAACATGTTCAAGTGATAGATTTTTATGTAAAATTAATGACACATATAATGCATTTATTAATTTGGTGTATGTACTAGGTGCCACTAAATACATTCATGATTTTTTTCTTAAACAATGGTGTCCGGGCCAGTTTGCGCGTACCTCGACTAATTCTACGGGCCTATTTCATCTGTACCTAGCCCTCGTGAGTCATTACCTATAGGTTCTTCACCATCTTTGTCTACCTCATTACCTATTATTGATTCCTCAACTTCGTCATCTACCCCTTCCCAGCATCCAATACAAACTCGATCTAAGTCTGGTATTTCTAAGCCAAAGAAACAATTTTCTTTGAGTGCTAATATTCATGAACAGTAACCTTCTTGCTTTTCTCGAGCTGTGAAAAATTCAAAGTCGCAACAAGCAATGACAGATGAATTTAATGCCCTTTTGGAGAATAATAATACTTGGATCCTTATTCCTTTTACCCCTAACATGAACTTAGTCGGTTGCATATGGATATATCGCATAAAATATAATTTAGATGGGTCCATTGAACGATACAAGACTTGTCTTGTAGCACAAGGTTTTCATCAAAAGCCTGGCATCGATTATCATGAGACATTTAGCCCTGTTGTTCGTGCGACAACTGTGAGGATTGTTCTTTCCCTTGCTGTCTCTTTTTTTTTGGCAAATTCGCCGGATGGATGTTAAAATTGCATTTTTGCACGGGTTTGTTACTGAGGAGGTTTACATGAAGCAGCCTCCTGGTTTTATTCATCCCGACTATCCTAATCATGTTTGCAAGCTAACCAAAGACATATATGGCTTGAAACAAGCTCCCCGGGCTTGGTTTCATCGCTTCAGTGCATTTCTTATTTCTCATGGGTTTGCTTGCAGAAAATCTGATAGTTCTATGTTTAGTTATCGCTCTTCTTCTCATGTCCTTATTGGATTACTCTATGTCGAAGATATCATTCTCATAGGTAGTCATAATGGTCTTCTTGATCAATTCATTTCTCGTTTATCTCATCAGTTTGCTATGAAGGACTTAGGCAATCTCCATTATTTTCTTGATATTCAAGCAGTTCGTACATCTCACAGTCTTCACCTGTCTCGGCTAAAGTACATTTGTTACTTAAATTTCACATGCAAACCAGTTCGTACTCCCCTTGCTTCTCGCAATTCTATTTCTCTGGTGGACGGTGAGTTACTTTCAGATCCTAGTGAATATAGGAGCATGGGTGGTGCTCTTCAATATTTGACTATGACTCGTCCGGATATTGCCTATGCTGTAAATGTTGTCTCTCAATTTATGCATGCTCCCCGTACCACTCACATGCATTGTGTCAAGCGTATTTTTAGGTACTTGCAGGGTACTCTAACTTATGGTCTGACTTTGCGTGCCCTATCTCCGACTTCCATGGTTATTGCCTACTAGGATGCTGATTGGGCTGGTTGTCCCGATAGTCGCCGGTCTACTTCAGGTTTTGCTGTGTTCCTAGGATCTAATCTTATCTCTTAGCGAGCAAAGAAGCAACCAACAGTTTCAAAATCGTCTACAGAGGCTAAGTACCGGGCTATTGCATATGCTGTTGCTGAGACTTGTTGGATTCGTCATATCCTTTGTGAGCTTGGTATCTTTCTTCATGAACCAATTCGTGTATTGTGTGACAACATCAGTTCAACTTACATGACCCATAATCCACTCTTTCAAGATCGCTCGAAACATATTGTTGTTGATTTTCATTTTGTGTGTGATAAGGTTGCACAAGGAGATCTTATAGTTCAATATGTTCCGACACATTTACAGTTAGCACATATCTTTACAAAGGGTCTGCCTTCATCTCGCTTTTGTTTTCTTCGGGACAATCTGTCCGTTACTTCCGCCCGTCCAGATTGAGGGGATGTATTAGTGCATATAGAATAGGTAGAATTCCTTTAGTCTTACACTTTGTATTCTAAAGAGTCCTTGTTTACATAACCTTGTACTCTAGGTAGAGTCCTTGTTGACTTGATACATTGTACTCTGTATAATATTATATATAATAGACAAAGCTCTCACGTTGAGAGCATCGTGGGGAGAATACTATTCTTCACACCTGCCACCTCCCATCAGCAACAGTTACCAGGTAATTCTATGCACCAAGGCTTGGATAGATGGGAAGAAGTCACCTTAGTATTTTTTGCCCCGCTGGGATTTGAACCTAATACATTCATGATGTTACTATGTAGTTATCTCCAATTAAAGAGAAAACTGACTGTAAAAGACCATGTTGCTCGAACTTTGCAAAAATATCGTTAGCTGCATGTCAGATCCTCCTGAAGTAGTGCATTTTTGGAGGATCTGACACAGGCGCGGTAATATTTTTGGAGAGTCCGCGTAACATAATATGTTACATCCTTTCCAACAGATTATAATGTTCTTAGTTGCGTCTTCGGATTCAAATAGCATTGGTATTGACAATCCAATATGATCAAGCAAAGCTTATAGAAAAGTTGCTCAAGGTCATCCACTGAGACTGCTCTTTGTACACCAGAGGCCAATGATAAGAATACATTCTTGATAAGAAAAATCAAATGCAAGATGAAAATGAATAGCAGTAATGTGTGTTTTTACACTCAACATTGGATGAATGAACACTAAATGAAGTCATTACCAACACAAAAGAAGAGGCCCTTCAATCAAGCCAAAAACAATCCCTTGATGGTTTATACTCACAAGGCATAAAGCAGTGCAACGAAAGATCCTAGAGCCATTGGCCAGAGATGTATGGTTCGAGACAAAGTATTAGCGCCATTACATTGGTCATTAGCACCACTGAAGCATCCAGGCCTAGTTACCTTAGGCTCTCCTCCCTCCGTGACAAAGCTGCTCTTCGGTTTGCCATTGCTGAAGAGTATACACCAGAAATAGGGGCCACCACCATCAGAACCACTCACAGCAGCACCAACCTCCGTGTGATTCTTGCTGTTGAGAATATCCAAACTCTTGCTATTTCTTATAAGAATATTGTTGAATGCTTCAGAAGGTTCAGCATACTTGGATTGACAAGCTAGAAATCTTCCGGTTATTTGAGCAAGTGATGACGCCTTCACATCACAGTTAGGGGCAAAAGTTTCAGCAAATTCAGATTCAGCAGGTTTCTTGGCATCTGGCCCTCCAACTGCACTACATTCACCTTGGTATGCTTTAATATATTGCAGAGCCAAGCATGCCAAGCCAGGGTTGCTGTATAAGGAGGATAATTTATTTCCGGTCCTGTTACTATTAAGGACAGCTACCAGCTCATCAGCAGGATTATCTGTTACCTTAGCTGTATTTTTTATCAAGAACATAAGCATTAGAGGTTGATCACAAGGGCAATAATGGTGAATCAAGATCAAGAAACTGTCTGCTCAAGGAATGTGCATTGGAAATGACAAGGGCAAACTACATCTAACCGAAGGGACTTGAGAGACATGTTGGTATATTTTTGGCTAGTAAGAGTAATTAAGTATCTAAGCCTAACTAAAGGAAGAAGAGCACAAGAAGGGGATAGTAAGCATCACTTAGGTTGTGACTGTAATTCTAGCATACTCAGGAAAGATTATCAATGCCAACTATATTTATCAAGAGAGTTAGAAGAAGAAAAAGTGAAGATACAAGATCAGGATGCAACATAGTTTTCAAAGGCATAAACTAAAGCAACTAGAAAAAGAATCATGAGCAGTGTCCTTTCATTTAGGTATCTTATCATGTTACCACAAGTTACAAAGAGCAAAAAGCCTATTTGAGCAGCTTCCCCTAGACTACTCTAAACGAAAAGGCAGCCCGGTGCCCTAACCTCCCGCTATGTGCGGCGTCCGGGGAAGGGCCGGACCACAAGGGTCTATTATATGCAGCCTTACCCTGCATTTCTGCAAGAGGTTGTTTCCACGTACGACTCGAAAAATTTTACTGAAAATCAAGGATGACCCTACTGAACCAGCAAGAAGACTTATAGCCTAGAATTTGCAGATGGACTTGATAGTGTCTTGTCTGCACCATATATTCAACATCCTCTTTTCCAAACTTCCAATACCTTTGGCTAGGTTAATAAGGCAAGAATCACACATAATCCAAGGTTCTATTATTAAGATATACTTATGACAATTTCCTATTGTACAAATAACCTTTCCCAAAGCACAATTTTGCACACTACTGCTTATGTATTTTGGGGTTACAACATATCATTACCAACATACGTGGGAAATGGTCAATATTGAGAAACCAGATGATATCATTTAACAAAGTCCCAAAAAGTAGATCTATCTCAGAAACTATGCACTTTATATATAACTACTATCCTCCTCTTTTTTTTTTTGGGATAAGTAATAAATACTATTCTGTTTGCATGAACTTAAAATCATGAATGCTGAAATCACTCAGCACATTATAGTTTAATAAGCAAAAACATACACCAGAACAAGTTGTTGACAAGTCTAAATATAGTCCTACAAAAATTACTCCACTGAAGGATCTTTAGAAAAGGACACTGTACTATCTTGTAACTCAATCCTTAAGTAGATCCAAGACTAAGATGGGCACAATAACAAGAATCAAACAGTGGAACACATTTACCATTAGTTCATTGAATAAACAAAGAGTAGAAACAAACACCGCAAGATTCTTATAAAAAAACCTGCAGTAAAACAGCTCACTCAACACAAATCTACTCAGCAGATAATCAAGAAACTATAGTTCAAGTAACAATAAGAAAACCCACTTCAAATGTCAGATCACAAACACATATTCCCTCTAACTAACAATGAACAGGACACAAATTAGCAATATTTACTTTGAAAATTTGAAGCAGAAGCAGAGATGAAGAAAATGCAGAGAAGAAGGAACCATTGAGCCATTGTTATTTCTGTGAAGTTGTCGGCGGAGTAAGTGAGCTTTTCTTGAAGGTATATAAGAGAAGCTAGCTGTTAAGCAGAGGAAGAAACAGCTTGCAGTGGGTCTCGCTCTGTTACTATGTCTACTTCGATCTGATACTTTATAAATGAAGCGACACCATATTGCATTTAATTACTGTAATGCCACCAACCGAAAGCTCATTTCCAACTGATATAATATGTATTTTAATAAGAAAACTGCCCTTCAAAATCTCCATGACATAAGACAACCATTTTGTGACAAGTTACCGTTCGAATTGCAGAGTACGAGCTTTAACTTTCTAGTTCTGTTTAGTTGGATATTTCACTAATAATTAATTATCGAATTAAATCTAAAATGAGTTTATTCACGTTGGTTGGAATAAAATTATGGTATAACTAATTTCGAAATTAGTTATCGAAGGAAATCAAAGAGTAATGCATAAGAAATTTCTTGTATTCATTTTTGTGTGTCTATCTACAGTATATGCTTGTGTATATATAAATACAATTTCCCAGATGCCATTCACGAGGCCATAGGGAATTCTATATCCTAACAACTTTTGTAACTAACTCCTAAATAAAGAAAATGTGAAAGAAAATATTTTCAAAGTGCTATTACACCCATACCCTCACTACAACCTTTTACATACTAACAGGTGGTCCTTTTACTAACTGTTGGATGAGAGCAACGTGTCCACATCTTGCTTCACTAAACAATTAATCAAACTAATCTATCTATACTACTTTAAAAGTAGGAAGTCCTAAACTTAAAAATTAAAAGACCAAATTACCCCTTTAATAATATATATTTATATTTATTTATAATAACAACATTATATCAAGATGTGTATATCAAGATGTGGACAACTACTTCACTAAAGTTCCTTCGAAAACAACATTATAAAACGTATAATCATTATAGATTGAAATGCAAACTATAGTCTAAGGTACGTAGACGTGTAAGATTAATCAACTCTACGAATTAAATAAGTTGTCCCACACTAATATTTTTTTTTTTTAAATGATATGAAGAGTACACCAAATTGACAGCTGTAGTTTAAAGGGTAAAATTGTAAATTCAGGAGGCTGAACTGGAAGAAGAGAAAGAACTGGATAAGAGTAACACTGCTGCTCCTCTCCACTCCCAAAGGTTCCGGCGAGATGACAATTACCATCTACACTCCTGCGCATGTTAGCACCAGCAGCTTAAATTTCCGTATCCTCCGTTCTCCGCCGCGGAGAACCTTTTCGCCGGCGAGATGTCACCGCAATTTTAGCTTGAGTTGCGCTTTACTCCCGGAGAAAAGGCGGGAAAGCAGACGATCGGTCACCGTAGCCCTCGGTGTTTTGCTTCAATGGCTCTTAGTACCTAAAGGTGATCCCTCTCATTCTATCAGTGTTAACGTGTGCCAGTGGCGAAGCCAGAAATGTTTTCAATGGTGTTCAAACTTGAAGGAGTAGAAAAAAAATTCCGACAAAGGGTGTTCAATTTAGGTTTTATATATCTAAAATCAATATTTTACTTATATACACAGTGTAATTTTTCAGCGAAGGGTTGTCAGTTGACCACCCTTTGCCAAAGGTGGCTTCGCCCATGCGTGTGCCTCCGCCAGTGCAATGCGTTAGTAATTACATTCGTAATTCTCAAGTTATGTAAGTCCGCGTTTGCCTGCATTAGATTGTTACAGAAGTGACACCGAGGTTGATATTGCTACTATAGTAGATGCAAGCATGAAATTATCATTGATAAACTGTAATCGTTTCTCTGTGTGTGTGCATGTTTATTTATTTATTTATTTATTCCTTTTTGAATTTTGTTTTGGTTTGCAGATGCAGGAGCAAGCCCCTTTGACAAGTATGTTAAAAGGTGAGCACAAAAGTTGTTGAATTTTGGAATAGATTGCATATATGATGTTTATGTTAGTTGATGAAAAGATGATTATTTAGATTGAGTTTAAATAGAGTAGTCAGTGACTGAGGATTCATATAGCCAATCCCGACTTGTTTAGGACTGAGGCTTACTTCTTGTTGTTGTTGATGATCAAAAGATGGCTAATTTTCAAAGGTGGATCCAGCTTATAAGCAGTAAAATGCATACACCCACTGACTCAAGGTACATATCTTATATGGAAAGTTTAGAAGAAAAATTATAAAGAGGTGGACCCAGTGCATTTAAATCATGGATCTGCCTAGCGCCTATACTATGGTAGCGTTCCTATAGCATGTAAGTTCAGCGTGCTATTAAGCTGTATCAAGTGGCAGAGTTAGGCTTGATTGCCACATCTGTGTAATTGGATGGGACAGAAACTGTCATATTCTAGCTCCATTAAGATAATATGTTTCTCTTTTGATAACAATAAATTTGATGATGTATCTAATGACTTGAGTTGCACTTAGATTTTTTTTTTTTGGTTGGTGAATCAGTAGTT